CCTTGTTGTCTCTGACACACCTACCCCCCACTACCCCAGTCAGTGAATCACTTAATCTCATCAAGGGTCTTCCTCTCTTGCGCTGTCCCTCTGCCCTCCTAAGCATGATGTCCCTCACCAAGAACTGGTCACTCCTTGCAACATGCCCAGAGTATGTCAGATGAAGCTTCAGAATCCTTGCCTTCAAGAAGTAGCCTGCTTTCACCCTCTCCAGGATGAACCTATTTGTTATTCTACCAGTTCATGGTATATTTAATACTCTTCTCCAGCACCACAGCTCAAAGGCATCAATCCTCCTATCATCTCTAGTCACTGTCCAGCTTTCTGATGCATAGCAAATAAGCGCAAAGACTATGGCCTGGATCAGGCACGCCTTAGTCTTCAGACTGATATCATTGCTCTTCAGTACTCTGGAGAGGTCTCTGAGAGCAGATTTTTCCAGTGCAATTTATCTTTTGATTTCCTGGCTGCTGATACCAAGAGTATTAATTGTGGAGCCAAGCAAACTTAAGCTGTTAATAATCTCAATGCCTTTACCATCTATCATGATGCTACCAGTTGGCCCAGTGATGAGAATCTTTGTTTTCCTGATGTTGATCTTCAGTCCATATTTAAGTCTGCAGTCCTTGACCTTCTGCAGCAGGTGCTTCAGGTCCTGCTCAGTTTCAGCAAGCAGGGTCGTGTTAATCTGCATAACGCAGATTGTTGATGAGTCTTCCTCCAATCCTGATGCCACATTCCTCCTCATAGATTGCTTTAACAAACAAGTTTATTCTGCCACAATTTCAAAGGCTGAAAGTCTGAATTCAACATGTGAGCTCTGGAGGAAGGCTGTGCCTTTCCGCTGATCCTAGAAGGTCCACCTTGTCTACTTTAGGTGTCTGTGTACTTGGCATTCCTTGAGATCCTCAGGTGTAAAAACAGTAATGAGACACCTCTGGGTGGGATTAGCTACCGTCTTTTCTGCACTTAGTGTTTAGTTTCGCTTTTAACCTCTATACCACCCAGGGACTCCACTATTATAATGAATTACAAGAATATTACAATCTATTGTTGTTGTTAGGTGCTGTTGATTCAGAACAGAGTCATAGCTGACCCTTCAGTGTGTTTTCAGAGATTGTAATTCTCACAGAGGGAGGTTCCCTCTTTCTCCCATGTAGCAGCTGGTGGATTCAAACTGCTTGCCTTTGTATTGGCAGCACATCTCTTTACCACTAGTCTTTCCCAATTCCCCATATGCAACCTTCCAAAAGCACTGATTTCTGCGAGAAACCCTTAGGCAGGTGCAGTCTTCAGATTTGCTCACACTTCCTCCCTTTCACTATGAGATGTCTGAATTGGGCCAAACTCAGATTTTAGTCCTTTGGGGGCTCCTAGACCAGTCTGAAAACATGGACTGATCAGCAGACCCTAAAGTGGACCTCACCTTTCGTCATTTCTCACAATTCATGAGAGATTCAATTCAGGTCACACCAAGGTTCTAGTCCTTTTAGTCAGCACTTGTGCTGGTCAGGCCACACATCTATAAACAATCCACCAGAATATGTGTCTCTTTTACTTTGGAAACAAAGACCAGGGTCATTTTTAGAGCACAGAGGGGTTATGAGTCAGCCTTGGCTGTGGGTGCAGCTTCACTGTCTGCCACAGCAAGAGGCTGAAGACTGGAGACAATGGGAAAGTAGTTTTTCCCCCTACTATTTAAAAATTATCATTCTTATTTTTTCGACTGTGGCTTCCTGCAGTCATCATTTACCCACCTTTTCAAGGTTGCTTTCTTGGGGTTCACATCACCCCCTATGATACCATACCTGCTAGATTGGATCCTAGACTGCTTATGCTACTGTCTGTGTGGCATCTTCTGGGGGTTCTTTTACTGGTCTTATTTAAGGTACCACTGGGACATAGTCATTAGAGAGGAAACACATCATCTCTGCTCAACATGTTCTCATGTGCCTACAAGATGTCCCTAGTCTTCCTCACATGGCAGCACCAGGTACTGCAGAGACAAAAGTAGAATCCCGAAGGCCCCTGGACGCCTAGATTCAGAATCTACACATGGTCATTGAAAAATAAGTCACATGCAGAATTTAGTCTATACACAAGAAAGGTTATCAGAGGTAGATTTTGGTATTTGTTTTTACATACTAAGAGAGAAATTATGATTTTATGATTTTCTTCTCAGCATCCATTTTCTCAGAACTGTATCGCTCCTATGATTCACATAGTTACTATGGAACTATAATGTTAGTACAGCTGACCACATTTTTGATCATTGTTTGAGTCAGGGGTAAGCCAATCAGACTCATCCTTTGAATTCTTTTTCTACATGAGAGCTGGTCTCTTACCAATACCCAGAAGTGCCTGTGATCTGCAGAAAGAAGGGAGGTGAGCATCCTGATGACCTTTGCCTCCTAGCCTTGTTTAAGTTATTGCTATCTCTGCAAGCAGATGCGTCTTCTCTCTTTACATATATGTGCTGCTATTGTGTTATGAGCCATTGAGTCAGAGCTGACTCAGCTGACCTGGCTCCGGCAGGTTTTCAGAAGCAGTACATTTAGCACAGGAGGAGTTTGTCTGTCTTTCTCCTGGTAGAGCATCTAGTGGATTTGAACCATGTGCCCTCAGGTTGGCAGCACAATTCCTTACCACAGGGTCATCAGAGCATATACATGTAGACAGATACATAGATAAATACAGATAGCCATGAGAGCTTATATGTAATATATAGAACATATGTACTTTGTATTTTTAATTATATATCTTATATATAAATTTTATATACCTTCACCATGTTGTGCATTCATATATGTGTGTGTACATGTGTGTGCTGTTGAGTCGACTATGACTCATAGTGACCTTATGCACAATAACTCTGAACTGTGCTCTGTCCTGAGCTATTCACTGTAAATGAAAAAACAAACAAGAGATCACTGCTCATCTTTCTTCTGTGGAGCAATTGTCTGCCTTTGGGCTGAGAGCGCAGCACCTCACCACTAGGATTTTCACTTTTTATTTATCCCAGTTTATATTTTTCCAGAACATTAATTTCATGTCTTCCCCCCCCATTCATTCTGTTATTAAGCTTGGTTTACTTTTTTCTTACTTGCTTAGTTGAAATATCAGTTTGCTTTTTATCAATAAATAAAGTTTTCTAAAAGTCATTTAAGGGTAGTATCTAATGTTTGATTCCACCAAGGAGATTAGGCATTGGGCAAGTCCGCTGTAAAGGACCTTCCAAAGTACTGAGGAACAATCATGTTAGTTTAATGACTAAGGTGTACTGGGCTCAGGCCATGCTCTTTTCAGTCACTTGCTGTGCCTCTTAGAGCTGGACAATGATGAATAAGGATGCCAGAAGATGAATCGATGTCTTTGAGTTGTGGTTTTGGAGAATGGTACTGAATATTTTGTAGACTGTCGGAAGAACAAACAGATATGTCTTGGGAAAAGTTCAGCAAGAATGTTCTTTAGATGAAAGGATGGCAAAGCTTCGAAATCTCAGTACTTTGGGCATGTTGCCAAGAGAGGCTACTCCTTGGAGAGGGAAATCATGTTTTAAAAGGTAGAGGTCAGCAAAGGAGGGGAAGATTCTTAGCGAAATGAATTGAAATAAGTGACTGCAGCAATGGGCTCAAGTGTATCAGAGATGAGGATGGCACAGGGTAGGCAACAACCACCTATGCCTTGACTAATGATATTTCCAGTTTGGTTTATTTAAAAAAATTATTGTCATAGTATGTGTATTTATATGTAAAATATTTTTATACTTAAAATTATATTAAATATATATTTTATGTATGTTCACCATGTTTTGCAATCATCACCCTATCTATTTCTAAAAATTTTTCATTACTAGTTTTGGCTCCTTTTTATAGTTAATTTTTTACATTTTCTATTTGATTGAAAAGTTATTAGAAGAATGAGCTTTGGCTATGTAGTCTCAAATTTTAATTGCTAATTAATTCTTGCCTTTGTTAATTTGTTGTTTTTTTTCCTGCCAGAATAGACTATGTACAAACTCTGGTTTTGTCTCTCTAGTTATAAGTTGAAGATAGAGCTTTCTTACCAAGCTTCCTTTTTCTCCCACTACACTTAAATAAGAAGCTCTCTGTCATAGTAATTATTAATTTTTCATCTTCTCTGAGCTAATCTTAAAACCTCCTAGATCATTAATCTGAAGATATTTCAGGTGCTTTTCAGATAAAATTCAAATGGAACAAGTCAAACAGCATTAACTTGCTATGCAAGAAGGTATGTGCCATTTCCCCTACAGCACTGTGTTAGTTACCAGGACCAGGCTGTATGCGCAGATAGCAAAGAAATTAATGTGAAAGTGATTCAAAGTTTTATAAGTTCAGCACAGGAGTTCTGCAGAGAGTAGATGAATTCCATTTAAGAGGACAGAAGGAATGACTTTCTTAAAAAAAAAAAAAGAATAAAAGACATCCTAGAAAGAAACAGTATTAAGTTACCAAGATCAATGTGGTAATGATTTAGCTTTTCTTTCCCACGTACGCGTAGTCTGTGTGTTATGTGCTCATTACTGCTTACAGGCCCTTTCATATCCATAACCTTAAAACAATCCTTTGAGAAACTATTGATTATGTTGTCCCATTTTTCAAATTGAAACACTGAAAAGATTAAGTAGAGTCAAGTATGGAACCCAGCTCTTCCACCTTCAAGTTCCCAGTCCCCTTCCACTGTGGCCTGGTGGGCAAGGAGTCGCCCTGCATCCTAAAGGCAGCAGTTTGAATTCCCCAGCAGCTCCACAGGAGAAAGTTGGGCAGTCTCCTCTCCTCTGATTTACAGCCTTTGAGGTCTGCTATCAGTTAGTTGTAACTTGACAGCAGGGAGTTTTATATCATGCTACGGGGTCAAACCTCTAGAGACCACAAGGGGTCTGCCCGCAGTCCGTCCATGGTGAGCTCTGGGGGATGGAAGGAGGGCTCTGGTGGCTGGGTGGCATCACGTGTGTAACCTCAGTGTTTTTCTCATTTGAGATCCCTGCAGCGAAGTTGAATGAGCTGCTCGAGAACTTTTACATCACTGTGAAGAAGAGCGACGGCTCGGACTTCCTGGCCACCTCACTCCACGCCATCCGCCGGGGCCTGGACCGCATCTTGAAGAACGCAGGGGTGGGCTTTTCCATCACCAGCAGCACCTTCAATTCTTCCAACAAGAAGCTCAAGGAGAAGCTGTGGGTTCTGAGTAAGGCAGGGATGTCAGGGGCCCGCTCTCGCAACATCATCTACTTCTCCCTCTCAGATGAGGAGGAGATGTGGCAGGCAGGTTGCCTAGGGGACGACAGCCCCGTCACACTCTTGTCCACTGTGGTCAAATACAACAGTCAATACCTGAACATGCGGACGCTGCAGGAACACGCCGATCTGATGTACGGTGACATCGAGCTACTCAAAGATCCCCAAAACCAGCCCTACTTCGCCCGGACAGACAGCGTCAAGCGGGAGAGCAGGAGTTCCACGAGAGTGTGTCATGGGAAGATCTACCATGAGCATTCCCGGGGCCACAAACAGTGCCCTTACTGCCTCCTGTACAAGTACATGTACATCCACCGGCCACCGACCCAAATGGAGGCCAAGTCCCCCTTCTACCTCACTGCCAGGAAGGAGACCACGGACATGGGCAGCGTGTGGTACGAGGAACAGAGGATGGGTCTACGGTCCTTGCGGGGAGTTGTCCCAAACTTAGCCAAGAAGGTCAAACTGGAAAACTGTGAGAACTTCACCTTCATCTCCTTTACTCAGGTCTCCAGGAGGCTTGGCTCCCACAGCTACCGCCAGTGACAGTCCTCTGGGCCAGGCCGTTGCCCTGCTCACTGCGGTGAGAGCCCACTCAGACCTCCTGGCCACCTCGCTGCACCAGGCAGGCAGGCAGGGTGTGACTGCAATGTCATGGTCCAGGGGACCGTGTGGTCTGCTGTTCTTTTTGAGTTTAGATTTGTTTTCTAAATGAACATCATAATAGAGTCTGAATAATTAGCATGTTCTATTCAATTATTACCTTCATTGAATTACAGAATACAGAAGGTATATTGCTACAGACACAAGCATGAGGAAATTTGCTTTATCTAGTGCCTTTTTAGCACATGTCTTCTCAGAAAAGAGGGGGGAAAAGAGAACCTCTTAAGTAGTCACTTAAAAAATTTTCAATAGCTTAGTGTATTTAAAATATTATGAAGACAGTGTATACACTTTGCTGAATTACACCCAGATAGGGAAAGTAGAGAGGCCAACGTGCTATTTCCAGGAGGAGAATTGCACTTGACAGTCCTGTTCTGTTGATGGATAACTTGGTTCTGCAGAGTAAGCAGCCTTCTATGATGAAAGCTCCTGGAGCTGCTCAGTCAGGCTGTTTAGAGAATCAAGATCCGCTCAGATTGCCTGAGCCGCGGGAGAAACGCCTTCTCTGCTGTCAGTAGAGACGATTTTATGAAAGAAGATTAATGCTCCAAGAGAGTGTGTGAGAGCAGGGTTTCCAGTGACCCAGATGGGTTTACCATGAAAGAATTTCCAGTGGTGAAAGGGGTTTGGAACAGCAGTCTGATTAAGATGTCAAAACCTCCTGAAGCAGAAGTGCCTACAGTTTTTTTCTCAAGCACCATGCGGAAACTACTTTCATTTGAACTTTTTATTTTAATTTTTTTTTAATTGGGGAAAAACATATTGGAGGTACAAGGAGGTGAGGGTTGGGGGCAGAAGGATGAGGATGGGCCAGGATGCAGCTGCAGAGCTGCACAGTTTGGTCGGTGGGGGGAGCAGGTAAAGGAAATGATAAGGGTCCAGTGGGGACCAGATGCTACAGAGGAATGACAAGCATTTTCCAATGGTAATTAAACCAACTGTCTTATTGATTTGGGAATTGGATGCCAACTCTCTGGCTTCTTCATGCTGCACAGGGGCATAGATGTAAAGGGGGGAAGGGAGGATGCTTTGTCTCCTTA